TTCTGCGTTTGTTGCAAACCGTAATAAAATGAAGACAGTGTAGCTGCTGCACGGAAGTAGGCTTACCATGTGATCGTGCAGTCGCTTTGAATCCATGATGTTATTTTGTATGGAATATGGTAGAGTAAAAAAGTGATCAACACCCACCCTCATATAAGAAAGTATAGAAATAAAAAAAAAGTTTAATATGAGCCCTTAATTGGTGCCATGATCGGGGACTGTAAACGGATATCACAGTAACTAATTCAATATCCAGCCATATGCTTAATATCTTGTCTAAACATCTATTTTCATTTAAATATAGCTTATTAACGACATCGAAAAGAGCTCTTAAAGATGAAAACCACTGAAACTACTACCAACCCTTCGAAAAAATCTGAGGTTCATTTTTGCAGAGCAGAGAATAAATATTGTAATGTAACTTTTTAGATAGAAATTGAACGCTAAAGTCGGTTTCTATGCTTTTGTTACTTATACAATCGATTCGACAGACCGAACTGAGCCATAAAGACATTCACTAGATTAAGTCGACTTAACGCATGTGTTTAAAATTGGTTCTGTAGAGTCGGTTGAGGATATGAGATTTGATCACAAGCATCGAAAAAATACAAAACTTCTTTGAAACGCAGTATTAACTTAAAGCCTTTAGCTTGCAAAATTTTTATATGCGATTCGTTAAAAAGTCTGCAGTAATCTATGCAAAACGATCTACATAAAAATGCCATGCAAAATGAATGAAAGTTCCCATACACAAAGTCCTCATAAATAAATGAAGAGCTTTTTTCCCATAAAAAACGATATGCCATTGGATCCGTATAAGCGGCTGTTCAGATATTTGGGATAGTTTTTTTTGCACTGTTTTAGAGACCTACATAGAATTCTTTCTAGCAGTGACCCCATTTTGATATTTCGAGGTTATAATAATGCCGGTATTGAATTTTTATCGGCATATGGCTTGAAAAATCCTATCTGGCACTCTGGTCATGAGTTTCTTTCATGTTGTTGTAGCATGAAAAATCATGGCCTCTCTTAAACTATTACGGAACAGATGTTAAACCTAGTTACTGCCGTAAGGTGTGATATCTTAAAAAGCACACTGAAAAAGTGGATGTGTCTGAAATGGATGAAACAAAACCGGATGCAAACAATCTATTTTTATTTTTAATCGTTACACTGGGATGATAGAACATAACCTCAGCAAATGTTCAAAATATTTGATGTTCCGGCTAATTATCGTCAAAGTACTTAATTAAAAATAAAGTTTTCATAAACGTCACCTTTTATTTTTAAAAAAGTTAAAAGAATAAAAACAAATCTACTAATACAGTACCAATAAGGAAAAAAAAACATTTTTTTCATCCTTGTCGCAAGTATGCTAACTAATTAGTCGCTGGTGGATAGATTTTTTGTTTCTTACCTCATCGTAATTTGATTGTAGCAGCTGATAAAGATGCCGTTATAGTCTGATAATTAATTTATGCGAATAAACATACTGTAATGTAACATGGTGACAGAAATGTTTCTGTAGCAATTTATCGAAAGCATCGTTGCATCAAACTGCAAAGCATCATTTGGCTTAAAGCGCCGTTTTCGAACATAGGGAGAAAGTACCGAATCTACTCAAAGAGTGGAGTAAAGCAATCATGAGGGAACTGGAAACCAGCGACTACTTCACTCCTTATTAATAAGATTGCCGGAATATTTTTTCCCGACCATATAGTATATTTTCTAGTTAGATTTAAGATACCTAAAACGCTGTTATTTCTCTGGATCTACCGTTTGGCTCCGTAATAAAACAAGCCGCTTTACTTGCTCTTATGATAGATATTTAAATCTGTAGACCTCACTACACATATCACGTAAAGATGTTTAGCATGGCTACTCCCGAATTCTCTGTAAATCTGGTAATGCAATAAAGAAATTATTATTATACTAAGAGCAAAACTTAAGCTGAGTATACTCATATTATATTCGTTTGATACAATACTCGCGCAGTTACGGCTGAAAATCTCGAAACATTTAAATTAAATAATATTAAAATCAAAACTGAGCTTGACAGGGGCCAAAGAATAGTTCTTCCCATATGGCAAATTTAATTTATCTAGTGTTGCTTCTGTCGGATAAGAGAAAGACTACTTAGTACAGCTTAAAATCAATAAAGTTTGATATAAGTTTGACGTAGAGGACATAATATCATGAGCAAAAGGATATAAAAAAAATTACGAAATTAATATAGTCATACTTTGAACTGTACTCTTGCATGAGTAACATGTTAGTATGGTAAACTTAAAAACGTGTGGTTGTGTAGGTCGAATTCAGGCGTGAACATATTTCGTTTTGTGCTGGAAACCAGCCGTTTGGTGAAATGCTAAACCGCGGTGCTGGACTTATGGCTCGAATTATTTATTGCAAATCGTAAAATACCCTGATTGTATAATGAAATATACCTTCTGTAGATGTAAATATGCAGTTTTTGTGTTTACCTTACTCTTATTTTGACTTTTATGTAAAATACGTACATTATATGAAAACTACGTAAACTATGTGATGAACATGACAAATATTATAAAAAAGGAGCTCTTTTGGGAGAGGTCTAAAAGGAAAGGGCACTAAAGCATTATATTGGGCGAGAGCAGTATAGCGAAAGAGTGAGGGTCGATAAATAACTGGCAGACGCTTTTTTGGTGGGATCAAAACAGTATGTTTATTGATAATTTGCATAACGATTGTATCGAGGTTTTAAATGCAAAAGCAGCGTTTAGCAAAATATCTAGTTGAGACAGATACATATGTACGCGTTCAAGAGAACGAAGAAAAGGTTGCATTTTGCGAGTCACGATCTTCCGTCGTGAACCATTAAAAATATAGAGGTGCTTGTGCATTAGTTAATGTTTTCGTGTATATATATTAAGCAAATCCTTCACGTCCATTGCTAGGGCGGAATTTCTTTATATTGTAAAGATTCTCCTGCCAACAAAATCGTTTCTTAACTTGAAAACTTTATCTCAGCTTTCAAGTCATTACTTAACTGGTAAGTTAGATTTTTATTTGGTATTGAAACAGTGTAAAAATGTTCTAATTCGAAAATTATTTGACAACGATTTTACTACAGATAATGCAGCTGGGTTATTCGGTACTTAAATTATTTTTGTGAATTTCTTCCTTTTTAACTATTACTTATAGTTGCTATATGTGCGCGGAGACTGGATTTGAATCGACAAAAATTGTTCGAATGCTACTTGTTTCGCTTTTGTTTTTATAGTAGCAAATATTTTACTTTACTACAATTAATAAGACCATACTTCTCAACCAACTTGAATATGAACACTTAAATGTATATATAGGGTGTTTCGAAATTTAAGGTCAAATTTTGATGGAGCCTGCCCTCTTTTAACTTGTGATTGTAAGTAAAAAAAAAAAAGAACCTAATTTTTCTGATTCGATTTATGGTAGTAGTCCTAAGAGTATGTGTAAAGCTAGGATTGCTTTTTTTGTAGTGCCATCAAAGGCCAGCTGGGCTAGAGAAATAACGAAACAATTCTCCTGTGACGGGTGTTCTTCAATTAAAGCTTGTTAGTGGATTGATTCGACGCATTCTTTGCGAAAGTAACTTTGCGAAATTCTAGAAATAATTATGATTACATAAGTTTCTCACCAACTTAAATTCGGAAGCATCAAAATAAGTTTTGTGGACCAGAACCTTTCCGAAAAAAAACAAACATTTTTGCGAAAGGTTTGTCAGTATTTAAGCGGCGTGTCACGCTAGAGTAATCGAGTGCTTAATTCGATATTCACAGAAACATCAAAGTTTTCTGAACCAGTTAGCCTTGTAGCGTTGCTATTTTCGACACTTCTTGTGATATCAACAAATGACCTCACTAAAGTACTGACTGCCAATTTGGTACTCGATTATATACTAAAACATTACATTAATATCCCTTAAAATGGAAGCGTTTTACTAGCTGGATGAAAGACCAGAGTTATAGCTTTACGCGGATACTCGTTCAATCGTAATAAAACATTTTAGGCAATAGAATTTTAAATCTCAAAATTCAAACATAATAAATTAGCACTCATCATTGTTTAACGTAATACTAATAAATAATTTTAATAAAAGAAAAACTTGAAGCCTCTGTGCTCACATGCCTTCACTTTTTTCGAGGTAATATTTATTACAGGAATGCATACTTACCGAAGTGATATCCGGCCAACCAGTTTTTAATAGATTTAGATGGCGAAAAAGTGAGTGAGCTATATTACTGTAGAGTTTCGACGATTGACGTCTAAGTATATTCGTTCGTGTTTTGCTTTTGGGATTTGTGTTCGAATTTGGAGGGCCTGATTAGGTTGAATTGGAGACGTTGTTGCGATGAACGATGCTCTTTGACGGATATAAGGGTTTCTGGCGTAGATACACTAATATAGTTTAATTTAGTTTGCTATGCAGATGTTGGCTCTGAAAGTCATCAGGCTAAATGCGCGTAACAAAGGCAGAAATATATTGATGACATTAGTTGTAGTATAGTGAAATCACTGACGAGTATTATGAATGAATATAGTAGCCTATATGTGAATTTTGTGATAATAATTAACAATAAGGCCAACAAGATAAAATCGTTTGCATTACGTACAAAAATTACGTGGAAATTCTTATTATATGGATTGATGATTTATCATGCGCTGCTTAGTTAGCAGCAATTACTCGTTACTACAAAAACACCTTTAAGACGTGAAAATGACTTCTCTACTGATCAACTGATGTTTAATTGTTAATCTCGCTGCCGTGTAGTTATGATAGTGATTCTATATAGTTAAATATATCAAAATGTTGTTTCATATTATTTATGAATATATTATTATATAATTTTTAACTACAATAACTTCGAATACCTTATAAAACGTACATGTCATCAAAACATCTAGTGTTTTTGTCAGAGCCAAGGGCTACTTATTACTCTCTGTAGCAATGATTATTGAAAAAGGTTAATACCAGATTGGCCGATTGACGTAGAAGAAATGCGCTACCCATATATAGCATACTGATCTTATGCAAGTCTGCATTAGGAATGATCACATATAGATAGAGCATTGGGGTATATACATAGATTACATTTAGCTTCATCCACTGCAGTAATGTATTAGGTTGAAAAGAGAGCTGCCACATTGATTTACTACTGTGACAATAAGTTAGCATTTACAGTCATTTTTATGACTTTGTATCATCTCTCAACATATTCATCTATTTTTTGCCATTACGAATTTTTAAGTTTCGTGTTGAAAGACTTATCCGGCCAAGTTTTAAGATCCCTTTCACTGTCAAATGTGCAGTTTGTGATTTCATTTACCGGTGCACTGCAAAGGTAAAAATCAATCCAGATTTAAACAAATGCCGTAATACCTCCCACTCGAAGCCCAGAAGGCAGCTTCTGTGTGCCTTGTGTGGTTTCGCGTTATCATATAGCAAAGTGTCCTGACCTTTTTCGCTTGAAAAGCTTCATTGATTGAATGCAACTAGGCTAAATAAAAGTATCAAGTTAACTGTTTGATTGATAAAGCAATTCTTAGTTAAGGTTTTGTAGTCCTACCACGGGAATGCTTTTTTTGGTTGAAGATTTGGTTAAACTCTCAGCCTTGGATTCTTTCTAGAAGCCACCGATTCCGATCTCTTGTTCATCCATCACCATTTCTCATCATCGAGCGCGATGTCAAAATGCAGCGTTAAGCCGAAATTTTTTGTTGGGTTCAAAAAGTTGAGACATCTAAGCTCCAAGCTGAGGACCTGAGATGGTAAAAAAAACGGTACTATGGCTATATATATCGAGTCGTAGTATCGCCTAATATATATATATATATATATAGTGTCCGCTAAAAAATGAAACAACAGAAAATACCGCATTTTTGAGCTCCACTCCACCCAATAAGATAATAATAATTTTTATCTTACATATAAATATGTCAGGCTGGTAATTGTGAGTGGTTGACGACCTTCCGTTTCCACGTAAGCTAATTTTTGTTTATACTAAACTTTTTTTTCTATGTTTTTTTTTGCTATACATGATGCATCATCTACAGTAACTAAATATGCTAATGTACATTCGTTTGTGTATTCTCTTCCTTACAATTACTCTGAAGCTTCGAGCCATACAGTACGGATAAATGGACTCAATTTTAGTCGAATATCTCATATGCATGCGATTTTATAGCGCTGAAGATGTGGATCGCGGTGGATCGTCTTTAATCGATAGATACTCCAAACGCCAGAATTCCAATATGTGCCAAGGAAACCATGGCGCACTTTTTCTCAAAAAATACTTCATACTTGTCATGAAGTAAATAGAACATACTTATAATGCTGTCCCGGGCCAGAGAACAAGCTTATTTTACATAAATTGTGTTCAAACCAGTATATTTAAAAAAAAATGTTTGATAACGTTTGAAAGTACTTTTACCGCAAAAAATTTAAGTGTAAGTCTTTTGATGTGGTTACCTCTGAAGTGAGCCGTGAAAAAAACTTGCGTTGCAAAATAAGGAGAAATCTGGTGCGGACGCCGATGGTATGAAGGATGTGAGCTAGCAACAAAAATGACTATTTCAACCTCCGTCTCTGCAAAGATGCGCTACGATTGTACGGCCTTGCGGCCTGTCGCGCGTTTTTCACTCGCGTAGTAGCCTCCAAAGGAACTTGAAATTCGAAAGTTGCAAAAAATCTAAGGGCCAAAAAACTTTCCGTTGAGCATTCCCCATTGTAATATGCGATTTTGTTCCGAATTAGTGACCTTGGCACCCATTTAGTATTTGGTAATAATTATATATCAGTAATTCATTTCGATATGCCTATAGTATCTACTGAAGAAAATAATATACAAAAGTGCACATTATCACTGGCATCAAACCATAAGAGCACAATAATTTTATTGATGTTTTTCAGATACTGAGTCATATTATGGAAGCGCGAATTAAGGCAGTATTGGGAACCAAGGTATTGAAACCGACTGGACAATATGGAGGTGGATGTATTTGTCAGGGCGAAGTGTACCAAACAGACAACGGAAAGGTGTGTACCTACAGCAACGATAAAGCATAGTGAATACAATATTTGCCGGCTTTGAATGTGTTGTCATACAACTACGGCTTTACCTTTTACCATTATAATAAATGATTAAAGCTCACTGGACGCAAATTCCAGGGATGGTAGGGTTCACGATTTAGAACTCATCCTTTGCCGAGTAAAAAGGCACTGATAATTTAAGAATAGATAAAGAAATTTGAACTACAAAGACAATAACTAATATATATTACTTTATATAGTATACTATATATAATATATAGTATACCAGTAAGAAATGCGTTAGCTACTCTTTTATTACATTCATTCTTTTACATTCAACTAATTCAGATTTTCGTTTTTTTCTAGGTGTTCGTTAAGACGAACTATTCACCGAACGCTCGCGCTATGTTTGAAGGTATCCCGAACATTGTGTTATATATATTTAAAATTATATATATGTTGTTCTTAACTATATGTATTCTTACCTTATTGCAGTTTGTTCTCATCTTAACATGATATATTCTATCTACAAATACTGAAATAGAAATAACCGTAGATTCAAGCTGAGTCTTGCCAGACCTATAAAAATAACATAACATCTATTTAAAATATTATAAAGCCACGGACTGAAGGTGCACCCTGTTCCTAAAAGTATCCGTTAGGTCTATTCATCTACATATAGATGTTTTGCGCGTATATGGATAACGATAACTGTTCTTTAAAACAGGGTTTGCGTGCCACGTTATATGTAATAATGTTTTTAGCGCCCGTAAGGCCCCCTACGACTATGCCGTTAAAACAGTATGAAAAAACAATAAGCATTTTCCCACTTTTTGCGAACCGACCAGTGAAACTGTATAAAATTATTTTCCCATACTCCCGTGTCATAGGCAAGTCGCATTGAATTAAACTAAAAGTCAGATGAAGCATGATACACTGTTAAGACCTATAATTTTAACAAATATTTAGTCTAGAAAAAAAAAGTTGCAAAATTAACTTTTTAAAAATACTTCACATCTGTGAAGGGAGTGATCTGTAAGATACCGGCAGTAAAAGAAGCGCATTTTCAGATGCATTACATTTGTTTGATTTGTTACATTTGAGACTTTTTTCATGTATGTTTAGTGTCCTAAAACATTTTGTTTCCCATTATCGGTGTGAGTCGTTAGAAGCATTCTAAAAAGGACATATGTTCTAAACGGAACACGAGTAACAACTTTTGCTTTAGTTTTTAAAAGTATAAGATCGTCCCGTCCGAGCAGCGTCTCTAGTATGAAATATCGACAGCCATTGGACAAGAAAAAACGTTATTATGAGAACTATGTAGTAATTATGCTTCGGTTGCAAACAAGCGCTGCACAAACTGTAGCATGCCCTTATCCAGTTTATGTAGTACTTCAACAAATTCAATACTTTGCAATAAAATTTGTCTCGCAAGTTTCATATTTCTTTAAGAGCCTTACTAAGTTAATTAATGTATATGAAAACTAGAACAAAACATCTATTCTGATTCAAATTGCATCTGCGAACCTCAATGCGAGGACAAATGGAGTTTATATCTACTCGCTCTATGAATTCACAGAAACTTCCGCTAGCTTTTGGTTTATGTGCATGGAGAGAACTGAGTAAATATACAACTAGATTTTTGCAGTTAGTGCATTTATAGTTCTGATGTTGTAAGTTTTCGCAAGCTGAGATTGTCCTCGTTACGCTGTGGGCCTTTCCTGAATGACTTCCTTAGTAGGACTTTATGGTTTATATACGGGGCGATTTAACAGGGAGTAGAAGCTTAGAGTGACCTACAGGTTGAAAATCTTTTTTCGTTTCCTTAAGTAAACAACTTCAGGCAAGATAAGGTTGATCCCATTTGTATTCTCGCCACCATCAGCGCAGACGAAGTTTACCACGCTTTATTTTCGTGAGTTCTCCGGCAAACTATTCTTTCTCAATCGACACGAAGCTTTATCTGTGTATGCGCCGTAAAACAGACCTAGGGGATTTCAACTACGTTTTATAAATAGATCAGTTACTTTTTTTATTAGGACATAATATCCGGAAATGCATTGTGATTGTTTTTTGTAGAAATCCGTTCGGCAGTGTTTATAAAAAAAAAAAAACATTAATTTCTACCTTACTGGATATCATCTAGACTGATACTGAATTGACCTGACTGTTGGTCTAGAAAAACAGCCTGGTTTTGAATTGCTTTTAATTGATTTAGCGGTCGCCGAATACTTTAAACAACGACAAGGCCATGACTGCTTAAAGTAAAAGTGCTTAATAAGCTACAGTCTGGTAGACAGGGTTTAGCTAACTGCTACGTCGAAAGTGAATTGAAAGCCGTGTAATATAACCAAGTATGTGCCGATTTATGTGTGTAAACCTATGTGTGTTCACCTCAATGATTGTTAAATCAAACGAATCGCGAGTCAGCTTTTTAGTCTTATTTTATACATTATTGTTGAGAGATTTCTTTAGTTTGAGTATTGTATCAGAAACATTTCAATGTGGCCCAGCAGTAACATAACTATTAACAACTCTGGCAGAATGGATTTGATATTACTAACAAAATATTTGGTAGGGATTTGTCATAATTTAGTTACCAAATCGTGAAGGTAAACGCGCCAGTTGCCAAGGTATACTTCGTTTGTATGTATTCATTATGTTAAAGAAATGCAATAGACGGATTCGATTTTCGCAGTGTTTTAACCTAATGTAATTTCGATTTTTTCTTCTTATGTAGTTAAAAAGAATACGTAATAAATGGCATTACATAATATCAGTTGTCATATGTATCTTACGTAGTAGTATTTTTAATTTAATAATCTGATTATATCTAACTATAGCAGTACTGCGTGTAAAAACCTGTTCACGTTTAGTCGTGGCTTGATTGTATACATGTTACTGAGGCGTGTTTGGGCAGTTAGAGAAAGCATCTTCCCAAAAGGTACAAAGAACATCAGAATATAGGATGGCCCATATCGCTCGGAACCAACATCACCGCCACAAAGTGAGAAAAAAATACCCTGAGCTAAGTGATACAGGCTTACGTCCGGTACTGCTCTGAACAGTGCTTCAGATCAAATCAGTTAACAGATGACAGTTGGGTGTCGCTGTAGCAGAAGCTTTCCCTAGTATGTTAATGGGATGCCCTGGTCTGAGCGGCTAACACGTATTTCTTTGATTGTATTAGTGTGGTTCTCTTAAGCAACGAGCGTGAAGACTACTGCTGCTTCAAATTTTAGCGTTGTCTGTTAATGAAAAATATCTTATGAAGATGAAAATATACAAATAGACAAGTGCAACAAATACAGAACAACAAGAAGAGCTTGCCAAGGAAGGCCTCGCTTGAGCCTTGTGAATTTTTTCTGACAGACCTACCATGGTAAGTTAAATGGTAACTTACCACGTCGAAGAAATTCACAAGACTCAAGCGAGGCCTTCCTTGGCGGGCTTCCTACCAAAAGGTGCTTAAGGCGCTTTTAGATGAGGGTATTGCTGAGGCTTAGCTCGAAATAATATGCAAGTATATTAACTTACCAAAGTTAATTCTATACAAGGTTCGAATTGTTTGAGATTCGAAAATACCATGAAGTCGCTGTGGCTCCTATCACCTATTTTAGCTAATTGTTTTTGGTCATATCAGATTGTTTTCTCTGCTTGTTTAGAACTGAGAAAATTGATCAGCTGTACAGGAACTTCTTGGAAACTATACCCGGATAATTGTAATAAACAAATGAAGTACTCTTACAGGGGAAACTTGTTAACTGCAAACGAGCACCCTCAGCAACACAAAAAGGGAGGCTATGTGTATCTACAGCACTGAATAACCGCTAAAAAAACTAATGGCATAGTGAATTAATCATTAGAACATTAACCCTAAACATATACTGCAGTTGTCTAAAATAAAGGTGGTTGTTTACCTATGGCATTTCGGTAAACAGTCGAGCTTAGCATGGACGGTCCTGTCTTTACTACGCAGCGGGCAGTGATATACAAAAATTCACAACCCGTTCCATTACAGACGAGTTGAAAGATAATGAAGGGTCTATGGTGGCTTTATTAAAGTCAAATCAAGCTAGTGGCATCGACCGCAATAACTAATTAAAGCAAATGAAATCGTGCTTAAGAATGAATGTTAGATCATGGTCGACAGTTTCAAGAATCAGAAAAAGAGCCTAACAATGGAGGCGGTCACTAGATGTAGGTAAGAAACATCACAATCTAGTGCCCGATAAACACTCCATAAAAATAAGGCCAGCTCCTTTGTATTTGGAGCGGACAGCTTTGGGATTGCCGGATCTGGGAAAAGTCACGATTCTTTCGGTAGGCCCAGCTGAAAAAACTTACTAATCAAGTCTTGATTTTTCGCTCGGCTGTAATCGAGAAAAAATCGGAAGGTAACGGAAACATCTCAGCCGAAAGAAAATTTCAATTTACCTTCGCATTCCTAAGAGCAGTCCGGCATAGTATGTTGTTAAGATATATGGCGGGGTGAGTTCGGTTGAAAAAGCCTCGTGGCGCGATACGGTTCACCGATTACATATTTGCCGGCTTTGCTAGTTACACGTCCAGTTTTGAACCGTGAAGAGAACCGTGACTATCGGAGTTTAGAAATTACGCGACGTTGTATGCAGATATGTAAATGCCGTAAAGGTAAAAGAAGTTTCACAGGCCTCCTATAAATTGTCGGCTTTCTTGACAATCAGGTATACAGTGCGATTTAAGCTGTGGACTGACTATTTCAAGTCGAACTTATTGGACAAAAGAGATGAAAACTGTATTAGTCTTGAAGACGTAAATAGGTGCACTATAGAGAGATCAATCGGAGCCACAAAGGCTAAAGAGGACTAAAAGCTAGCAGAAGGCGTACCTACTGCAGAATTACAAGTCATCTAATTCAAAGAAGGGCACGTTGTGTGTATAGAAGAACTGCAAAAGGGTTGCCTATTTTCGTCCCCGCAATCAAGTCTTATCGTGTCAAAAAACGAAATGGAGTTAGAGCCGGAAAGACAAGGCCAAAAGGAACGTTTGCTTTCTCAAAGTAACAATGTAGCATTGGCAATAAACCTTTTCTAATAAACTATATTCGGCAGACTCCAGCGCTCTGCACGACTTGCTTCTAATAAACTCTCACATACGGTTTTTGAATGTATATGCTTTTTGACGATGTGATGACTTCTGATTCTATACCCTTGGAAGTGAGTTACCGCTTATAAGCTGCATTGGAAGATTTTTTATTTGACAAGTTGATTGTTTTATAGTCTTGGAAATCAGAATATAAAGACTAGTAACACTGAAAAAGTTTCATTGAAAAACCTAATCCCGCATAAGCTCAAGATTGGATCCTGAATAACGCTAACCTTATCCTTTAGCTTTAGGTTTAAATCGTGTTATTGGGTTGGACGGTTAATAGCAATGGACATCATACCAAAGGAGACTACCTAAAGTTTGAGAAACTTGAAGGGATCCATTCATATGAAGCAATTCAGAGGCTTTTAGCACCGCTTAATCCGTGGATTCCACTAACCGCAATGAGCTCTTCATTTGTCTAAAGCGTTAGCTTCCCAAAAGCGAATAGGTAAGATCGTGTTCGATTCAGATTATCGTTTCAAATATTTCAGGATACCGTTGATCCTAGTTGTCGATCCCTTGAATCGTCTTTTAGACTATCTTTATGCAAACACAGGACGTAAAGAGCGATCAGATACCATTATTATTACTTCACGAAAGCAGAAAAGAACTACTCGACTTTGGTAAAAGAAGTACTGGTTATGCTCAAAGCTGTTGAGTAAGTCGAGCCTTACTGAGGCAACGAAAGTTCTGAGTTACAAGTCAACCTCAGCGTTCTGTAAAACCTGATCGAGGCCAGGTAGTGTAAACGGTCGAGGGCGAATTAGATTTGTCGTCTGTTAGAAGTCAAGTTCCCTAGGCTATCGCAGAGACTTGCGTACGGTCCATTAGAAAAGTAGGATGTCGCTTTCAGCTGCATTTTATTAATGCTATGGCAAGTGAACAAAATGGAAACGTTAGTTCAACAAGCTGAACGGGGAGATGTTAGACAATGCAAAAAAGGTAGCGTCGGATCGCGCGGCTCTGTTCAAGAATATAAGATTATATAACCGAGCATGATTGAAGTGCGTTCTGCTACAGGCTGGGAGCAAGTACCGTTGAAGCTCAGACAGACATTTGATTACCATGGATCCTTTGTAGAACTGGAACCTAGTGACTGTGAAACACCATAACCAGTTTTTCAGTACTACTATTAAATGTTCTCTCGCGTCTTTCAAAAGAACCGATGTGTCCGATGGCGAATGTACAACAAGGAACACGGTATTAATTGGCAATAACAACTTACTTTTAATCGAGGCTCGGTCCCAGAGGAAGTAAACGTATGACTACAGTAAACGGCAGAATGCGTACTTTCCTTGGGTGAGTGCGGGTCAGTCGAAAAAACATCAAATTATGTCAGAGTACTGTAGAGTTCTTCGCTGTGGCGAAACGTTTCAGAGATACGTTAAACGAATTCTACGCTCCGATTAAAAGTAGCTGAAAAAAAGCTTGCGTTTTTCAAGATATTTTTTTTATCGTCAGAGGCAACGGTCTTCTTTGCGGAGAGACTGATGATTTCGTTGTATGAATATGAGGACTCTATGAGTGCTCTTTTCTTCTAACAAGTATACTGGGCGCTATAGCCAAGTAGCAAGTTCACCAAATTCCTAAGCTATATGGTGTCAATGACGAACCTATCGAATATCCATAAGCATCTGCCTATGAAACTGCCCGCTTGATTTGCTTAGCTGTGAACTGTTCCATCCACAATCGCAATCTCTACTACAGTTATCTCATAGCAACAACACTGCACTATTCTGATGTGAACGTAGCTACTCAATAATACAAGTAGAAATAGGATACATTAGTGAACTGGCTAGCACGCCATACAGTCTACATATTGCCCTAACCGTGGACTTCATTGATCGAAGCATCGATCACAGTACACAATTTTCTCTGCTAATATCATCTGTTCGCTAGATAAAAGGTGTCTCTATAACAATGAATTAAAATGTATGACGGGCAATTCATCTAACGGCTAATGAATGCTGTTACTCCTGTTGCTGACGCGACGGTCTGTATTCTGTCATATGAATGAGAATTCCCCTTACAGGTATCCCAATACTCCCTTATACGAAAACACTTTGCCCCTCATTCACTTTTTTTTTCTCTGCAGGTTATGCCATTGCAATCGTTCTGGTTTTCTTCGTGTGCATCCAGTTACTTCTGTTTAGTTATGCTTGCACTCAGACCAGTTTGTTCTGTCTATCAATTTGTAACCTCTAAAATTACACTACCAAAATTAATGTAGCAGCCTCTCTTGTAAATAATTTCAAACGGAGTGCCAATAGAAAAAAATAATGACAAACAGATCGTGTATATCATGCGGGTTGAGTCACATAGAGCCCGTGTTAAACACTATATAGATAAAAAGATTCCAATGCAAAAAAATGTAGGTCGAATAGTTAAAACAGATTCCGATGTAGGACTAAAAATAGAGAAAGGTATGAATTTATGGAGTGCTACTGCAATTAGAAAACATTGACTAAAATATTACCATTGTAGATAAGTCTATTCAAGCTCGACGTGAGGTTCAATGTAGTACGAGAGAGGCTTTGCGTTGAAATGTAAAAGAAGACATATTTGGGAAGGCTCGACTTTAATACACACTGGGCAGCCAGTGAAGCAAATAACAATAATAAAAATATTATACAAACAGTAACACATAGTACTCTTTCAGGATGAGAGAAGTAAACGCTAAGGGCCTTAAACGGTAGAACAATCGTAGGATGGAGCTATTATTTATAATCCTTACATTCTAAAGCACATTTGGCCTGCGGCTGTTGGCACAAAGCGAAACACTGTGACGGGTTCTGCCATCTTGCCTTTTATTTAGGTTATTTTAAACGTATTCGGCTCAATTCATTCGAATCAAGTGGCGATTGAAACGTCAAAGAAGAACAATAACACCCCCAATTAAACAAAAATCATTTGATTTTCTACTGTATTTTTCAGCAAGTATTTTGTCATATTGTACGAGCAGCAAAAATTATATTTCTTGCGAATTATTTTTAGGTGAGATGGCATCACTGGAGGCAATTCGATCGACACATACCGTTCGAACCCCGCTACCACTACACGTGATTTCTCTGGAGGAAGTTCGTATGACATCCTCGTTACATTGATTTCACTTTGTAGGTCAAGCTGCACGTATGGATACATGTACAAAAAGTGGTTTTCTGTGTTCTGGGCTAATAGTTTATAAGCGAAATGGACTGCAAAGATACTTGAATTTGAACATTTCAAATTCCAGTGGCCGAGAAGCCACGAATTTCCATAAACACTTGACTATAATCTTCCGAGAATGTATACACTTGCAAAAATTCCTCTGAAATTCTTCAGATTAAGGCTAAGTAAACTGTGTTAAAAACAGCTTAGTTTTTTTGTGTAGCGTTAGGAAGAAGTTTGCATTTTTACATAGCATTAGGAAGGAACGGGTACAACCTTTTCCGTCAATTTTAGTTTGGAAGCACTGGAAAAAGCTTAATCGATCGTCTGTGCTTCTTACGTAGTAGTCATGAAGATAAGTAACAAACTAGTGTATAGGCATCACATGTTGTGAAAATTGTACGATGGGCTTCGGCTCCAAGGAGTCTAAACTGGGAAATGTGTAGTACGTATTGCAAAACACTTGTATCGCTTACAGTGTAACAATTTACCGCTGAAATTTATCACTAGAAAAGTTGACCAGGAAATGATGCTCGTGTGGCGTCAAAACAGTTTAATTTAATATGAAATACGAAGTACCTGATTTTTAATACGCCAATAATGAGTTTTGTCAAATTCATTTTGTCCCAATTTCTCAGACGCTATACATATCATGTTTGCGTTCTAAGTTGTAAGCCATCACGCTATAGCCTTTTTTAGTAAATTTCTGGTAGTAGAATTCTACTATTCTAGTGGAATTCTGGATAGATCTTAAAGACTACCTTTTTGTTTAAAATTTAAAAAAAAAACTATAGATCCCACGCTATAGTTTAGAATTACTGTTTGAGATTAGTATTAACAAGAAACATTGATAACTAAAACATGTTAAACATTTAAATCTGCGCAGCTCTTACGTTTTTGTGCAGCATGCGAGGAGTTACATAATTGAACTTTTGCGGTTAATATACTAATATACTTTTATTATGGTCAAATACGCCCGAAAAGTACTAAAGAACTCAGTCAGTACATAAATTCTCTAAAATGAAAATATTTTTTGCCTAATATTAACAGATTTATCGCTTCGGGCCATTGCTTCCCAGATAAATTGAAAATAATGATTCTATCAATATCCCGTATATAAATAAGAAGAGACAAATGTATGCCCACGAATCTTATTTACTAATGATCCTGTAAGCTTAACGACCTTTACTATGTGTGGTCTATCATTTCCGTAAAGAAGAGTAATTTTATTTTGTCGATCGGGTTTTTATGTTGCACAACCTCACTTACTCGAAGCAACTAAGACATGTGTAGAGCCTTGTTAACTGTACTGTAATTCTTAAGCGTTCTCCAGCGTATAATGTTCTCCCAGCCCCACTAAACGTAAAGTTTTTTTTAGACAGAAATCTAGCCCAACTCTGGGCTCAAACGTATTTCTTCGAATTACCCATTTCTTTTGTGCTTTATATCTATGTGAAACAACCATTTTTCATTTGCTGTAACCATGAAGTGTAGAAACCCATTATTATAGCTGCACGTTGCTCAGTATAAGGAGATCGTCGGAGGCCGCGTTTTCCTAAGCTCTTCACGAAGCTTGTAAGGTACTGGAGTGAATGTTAAGACCCAAAATGCCTGCCAATAGCCATATCCTTGCAGTTCAGTCTTTTTCGCCAATCCATTTTCCGGTTTTTTTTTTTAATACTTTTAGGTATGTATTCCATCTAATATATGTACTCATAATATCGCCACATAGTAAAACAATGTTTTACGATAACCTGCTTCAAGAAGTGCTCAGGAATATGATTTGGCGTAGTTGCTTCATGAATGAGGCACTTTCTTGTCAGGCAAATAAACCTAGGTTGTTTTCCCGAGGTGTGTGAATTTAATTTTCAAGTTCAGATTTTTAAAATACGGTCGTTCTTTCATCTCATATATATTTAACAACAAAGTACTGAAGAGCCGCCTGAAACTAACATGGAGTAAAAACAAACGAATTAGTCGACTGACAAGTTTGTTTTATTCGCGTTCAGATATCGTAGATCAGAATTAGCTTTGGAGACATTATGCGCAGAACACAAGAACAAACTAATTTTATAACAACTCATGAGTCTGCTGGTGTCCTCAACGCATATCCAGCTTCGAAACATAGGAGAGACGCATTCTAGCAAAATACTAGTTAATGCCTTTTATAGCAATGATTTCATAATGTGTTCAACTTTTTGCTCAGACCGGCAAACAAGGAGCCGCGCTGGTCATGGAGGCTCTTGAAATGACAGGTGGTAAACAATGTCATGCAAAAGAACTCGGCATAAAGCTGGCTAGAATGCATGATCACAATCGGATTCTTATAGAAAGCGGTAAGATTCAGCAATGGCTTAATTTTCGTTAGGTTAATTTTCAACACTTTTTGATTCAGAGTTAGACGTGTCAATAGGATAAAGTGTGTAGGTGTACATATGTTATACAAAATGTTATTATCATAGTCATAAGAGAATTGTCATATTAACGTAAAAATATGCAGCATATATTTTCCTCAATTTCTGCTTCTTTAATTGTCGTGCGTGATATGCTTTTGTATACAGAAATGTTCTCTCGAATGGCGTGAATGAATAGCGTGGACGGAAAGATTCAGAGAAACTAGTCTTAGCTGAAGATTAACCTAGACTTTCGGAAGCGCTAACAAACCGCTCTATCTATCCTACATCTGTTTTACGCCCAACGCGTCCCTATACGCGTCCCCATTTTACATTTATTTAGTTACCTTCCTTGAAATAGGAATTGGCGTCAAATACATTTCATCACAGTAGGCGATTTTTCATAGTTTAAAGTATATGGATTTTCAGAAGCATTAGATTAAATATTCTACATATCTATATTATTCACGCATTCATTACTCATGGCAGAGATGCGATCAAATCATGTAGCTTTTCTCTTAAAGAAGTTCTCTTATGTCTATAATTAGAATAATTTCTATATTTTTTTATGTTTTATAGGAGACGCTAGAGCCCAACGTCGATTTGGTTTTGCTATTACTACCTTTTGTGGAGCCATACCGCTGGACAACTCTTGGAAAGACGACTGGATATCATTTTATACGCAAAACCGCATTGAGCTTCAGGTATGCTGTTAGTTTATGCAAATCAGCTCTTAATATAATTGTGATATATGGTATTTCTTTACTTGGATCTATAGTATATATAGCTACGTGCGGAGTGTTCTGTAGATCTGTACATGTGTAAAAAAGGTATTTACACTTAATTATTTTTCGAACTTCTGTGGAAACTGTGCTAGTAGATGAGAGCGCTTTTTCTTCGTTTAAAAAGCTCTATCAATAGCAAATTGCCGTAAGATTTTTAACAAGCAACATAATGGGTATTATTTAATAAGAATATTCAAACTTGGAGACTGTTTTTTGTTTTGTCCCAAAATACAGTTTTTTTTCAATTTTATGCTGATGCGCGCTAATCAGTCTTGCTGAAAACTCCCTACGTATAGTGCTCATGAGCTGCTATGAGCTTTTTTCTTTGTCACTTGGTAAAGAAAGTGGTTAAATGGTCAAATATAATAAAATGCGTTTTCGGTGCCTTAAAGTAGCTAACAACGGAAGCCATTCTCCGGTATGAAAACTCGAATTTTAGGCTTAAGTCTGGGACGATTCAAAAAATGGTCAAGACATGCATATATATGTTTTCGTTATTTTACAGGATCACTTTTTCTAGTATAACAATAAAAATTTGAGATAGAAATGAGAAAAAGAAGTGAGTAGGAAAATATGTCGACGCGTCTTTCCCTTTGGGCTAAGATAACTTAAATCCCATTCCAAATCTCATAATCTTAAGCAAATTCTTATAGAAACTGTTTTAAGTTAATCTCTAAAGATAATTAATTCTAAACGCATATAGCGTGGGGTTTTTGTTATTAATTTTAATTATCCCGTACTATTAATTAAATTATACCATACTTAAGTAGAAAGCGCACATGCCAATGTTTTTCTATCCGTTTTTTTTTATTTCAAGTTATTGTTTTGGGTAAAAAATATTTTCTGAACTTTAATTTCCATCCATCATTCTCGCTCTAAATAAATACATTATAATGATTTGTGATATTGGCGGTAATTTTTCACTACATCTCAAGAATCGAATGTTTTCAAATTGATTGATAATTCGACGAATGTCGGAATGACATTTTTCCTCATTTCATTTTGGCAAGAAAATTTAGGAAATAATGGTTATTTGATGCATGGATAACGGCCATCAATTGAATTGGACATAAATATTTCTCAAATATTAGATAGAACAAGTAAGCAGTTCGGTATTGTTATTGTTCGGTGTATTGCTATCGCTTTGGCACAAAACCTTAACATTAACAAGTTATTGAATACAGCCATAGTAAAGGTTTTACAGTAAATACACTTTAAGGTAAGAACCTCGAATTAGAAGTCCGGACTCATAATAGGTTAATTGCTAACTTCATAAGTGTAATATTTGCCACGCGGTGAGTTTCCATATATACAATGCAGCTTATGAAACATCTATCAGAGGAAAATAAGTGGAAAACGTCGTTTTCAAGCTAGCATTTTTCATCGTCTTGAATTTATTCGCCAGGCGATACGCGTTTATTTCGCCTCAAATTCCTACTCATCTCTTGCAGAGTGGCTGTAACGCACTCTCGACTAGGCTTCGGAGATATAAATATTGAATGCCCTGTCGAAGTACAATTCTTCCGGCTGGAATCGAAAAACCGGGCTATATAGAATCGAATTTTTCCTCTATAGGCGCTTGGCATTGGGTAGCTTTTAAAGTAAACAAAAAAAAAAAAGACGAAAACCGTCAAAGTGAAAAAGTAATCTGAAGCTCACGAAAGATGCAGCTGCGAATGATACAGAGCATATGAACTAACGCACAAAAACGATTGCCACGACATAAGGCCTTATCAAATCTTTAGAGACCTGACGAAAAAGAGAAAATTTCCTAGCTACCAACTGCTAACCAGAAGGACACATGTAAGGGAATGTGTGGCTACGAAGCTGAGCGTGAGCTTCATGGTTTCAGTAGCCTCGTTTATTTCAAGGATCTCAAGAGCCGGGAGCTGTAAGGCACTCCTAACCAAAGGAAAGTCTTCATGCAGTGAACTGGGAGTAAGCAGACAGCAAGTGCAGGTACACTAGAACATACAGGGATCCCCGATTAGAAAAACCATTACTTTAAATGTAACTAGCGCGCATAGTCGGAGATAACCAACCGTATTTGTTTGTTGGCAGACATGGCACTTGTGCACAAAGTCCCAAGGCCAAGCTAAAAATCCTTTTTTCTTTTATCTGCGGGCAGTTTTCACCTGACGCTTCTAGCAACAGATGCTCAACACTGCGACTTCGGGTGGTTGTGGAAGCATCAATACTTTCGGTTTGGCATGGTAAAGGGTGCTGCTCTTCGGGTCGAATTAGCCCACCTTGTCTCCTTTTCTAGCGAAATATTTTGTTTTCAGACATGCTGTTGTCGATATCTAGAGAATAGTCAAGGAGGCGTGCCGGATACGGGAAATAGCGCATCCGCATTGCCGTTTGCGATCCTGCTGCTGTGATTCAGTTAAACTCGTATTGTAACAACTTCCGAGTTTAACGGTATACTTTGGACTCCTGCTTTGCAATCAGTAGTACAGTAGCAGTAGATTGTTACCGCAAATAAGCGGTGGAAATAGAGCCTGGGATGCGCGACAAGTGTATGCCATTTAACTCTTTGGATCGAGAAACATTCTATTACTGTCCTAGCCGTGTCCTTATATTGGATGAGGGCCTCCATTAAGATCGGTGCCACTTAATGAATCCTATATTGTCGTTAAGGTACAACGCCATCTGGCATCTCACTACTTACGACGTAGAGTAAAAGCTAGTAAAATGTGCTGGTTGCGTTTGTTAACACACCTTCTTGAAGGCACCCTCCCGGATTGATATAAGCTACCAAAGGTGCTGAAAGCGCTCCTTCTTTGTTATCTGAATATATTAAATATTGTAATACTGTTTGTAAGTATCTGCAGTTGACTGCTTGGAATTGTCCAATACGTTGAGCAATTTAGAACAAGAGCGTCGGCATATGCACAGCGCGGCACTCTCGGGTGTTACATTGTATACAACCAAATTACATTGTGGGCATTTGGTGACGTGAGTTGAGAATACATTTGAATTCATTGTATTAATATGAAGGCTGAATGCCCTTCCGTTGGGTCGGAATAAAACATACCGAAAGGCGTCCTTTCTATAACCGAACGCAAAAATCTATAATTATGGCAAGGTATAATATGAAACTTCTATATGAAGGTGCTCAAAAAGTGTATGAGTATACGCTTAGCATGCATGAGTTAAACATTTGGGTAGCAATGATAGGATATTTATATATTAAGGCCGCTATGTACGACTTATAAGAAAAAGAACGACTATTGCCACAAATGTCCCAGGAGAGTAAGGACTGCTCCAACACTAAACAAAGGGTGTGAGAAGCATAATATATATAACGGCAGGTCCGTGTTTGAAAATTATTGCCTAAGCCTTTGTAAGTTATATAAGGTAAGCTAAAGGTCAAGGCCGGTTTTTCCCTCTCCAAAGAGGGATGAACATAGGTTCATCAATAACCGAGGGCTAGCAAATTATCGAGTAAAGAACGCAGCGGTACAGCCTGGGGCAGTGCTTGTGTTTTATATCAAAATGAGGAATCTATTAAGGTGGCAGTCCGCAAGTAGATAGAATACAGTACGGACAACAATTCTTGTGGTTAAAAAACACCGAAGCAACAAATTCAAAGAGACTGGCTCACTCACAAGTAAAGGACATCTGGAAAACCACGATTCGGATGAGCAAACAGTGTAGGTGCCTTTCCAAATAGTGAGAAGAAGCATTAGATGCAAACAACCCATGGGTTCAACAAGATTGGTCTATTTTTTAAACGACGCGGAAACCAAGGAGCTTCAAATTTCGTGTCTAGGCCGGCTAGTCTCAATATATGGCGGTGACATCGAGTGGCCTGTCGGTCCTTGTGATTTAACTACTCCTGTTTTTTTCTCTGGGTTATATGAAGGAAAGGGTCTATGGAATAACATCGACCGCAATAAATAAACTTGATCACTGCGTGAGCGGAAGTAATGTTGAGATCGTTTTTTTTTGCAGAGGCGTAATTCAAAATTGAGTTAGCAAAATACATTGAGCTATGTAAGCAGTTCTTGGGAGGACACTTGCTGTACACTGTTTTCCACGTAAAGTGTAGATTAAGCCCGCTGGGCTGGACTAACGTTAAAATAAAAATTTCATTTTTGTTTTCCTTTCCGGCTATATTGGAATAGACTCTGCGCTTTTAGGTTACACGATTTATCGTTGAAATCGTTTTTTTTTTTTTGCATGGACTAGATAAACAAAATATTTGATCAAAGTATCCGCTTCTTGACAAAGTAAAGGGATAGTTTGCTTTTGTAAAAAATTATGTCAATTTATTGCGAGAATTTGCTAGCCCGTAGTCATAAAACTTATCACCACACTTCGAAATTGCATCTGTATAAACAAGCTACATCTTCGTTTGTACGTGGTAGCACTAATTCATAAAGTAGCATTGCACCTTCATATAATTTGCACAGGAAACAACGCTTCATTAATTGTTGTGCCAATAAATGCATTGTAGACATGCATTGCTATATGTAATAGTAGATAAAAGCGTATAGTATGTATTGGATATCAAGCGGAAAAAAGCCGAAATGTTCAAGACTCAGTTGTATTTTTGCACTTTTAGAGTAAGACAGGGCTGAAATATCATAACACCTGCCTATAGGTTTTTGAGAATAAGATTTCTAATTTAGCCCTTTCATGTTTAGCGATCTGAAGAAAAAGAGCCTTCTTTAAGTACCGAACAAAGCATGCGCTAATCGACGAGTAAAAGTAACCCGTGCTCAACATCTGAAAACTTAATTTCAGGTTAAGATGGTGGAAACAAAATATGGAGATCGTCAGGTTCGTGAGCTTTGGACCCAGTTGGAAAAAAAAGTTCCGAAGTTCTTTCAAGGGATCCAGATTGTACCTGCTTTACTTCATGGTGACCTATGGTTCGGCAATAAGGCTGAGGTGATAAGATTGACGTTTGCGCTTTTTATGATAAAACCATATAAAAAAATACAAAAGGACGATAGGTGTTTTAGGTATACTCTTTTCTACAGTAAAATTTCAAAGCAGTAGCAATTTAAAAGCGTCAGTAATGCAGAAAAGGCTTACGACGCGAAAATTTAATATACTGAGTAGCGAATGACTTTAAAACGATTAGGCTATAAAACGAAGGAAGGCGCTAAAATAATTGTACATGTGTTGGGCAGAAGATACATTTATCGGCATGTACTACCTGGCATTATTCCTCAACTCGAAGGAATAGTGTTTTTTTGGCTGGAACATATGTTTTATCTGTTAAAAAAAAAAAAACACATGGCACACGAGGGGAGCTTCCTAGGCATCTTATTTACCTAGAATGATACAATGAACCGAATATTATTGTAAAGCAGACATTTGAACAAGGGCGCGCATTTTTCTTCATGAGTAATCAATTTAAGACGCCTATATGATGGTTAATTTAGTTCCACCTGGTGATATTATATAAACTTCGTCCGGCCGGATGCTCGGGCGAATGAGCTCTCATTGTCAAAAATCATGCCTCATCATGAAATACTAATGTTTTTTTGAGAATAGCGGAAGAAGTGCAATGCTTGCCGATTTCGGCTTACAATAGATTGGAACGAAGCCGCCCACAATAGAACCTCTATTTGCGAAAATATAGCGCTGTTCTACTGAAATGACAGTTCATAATGGGTGGACGGCCTTCGCGGACTATTAGCCTGTGTTACTGGAAAAAGGTTATCTTTCGTGAAAATGTCTTCGTTTAGCAGAAAAACTCTGCGTAATCTTCTATTTAGCATTACTTGCTATCGCAAATTATGCTTTGTGCGCCTTTCTTGCGATTCGGATACGTTAAAGATTGAATAAAACCGAGGCATGCATGATTAGTCCAAAAAGGCGAGCCCCTGCCAGGTCTAAAGATTGTAGCTTGTTTGGACAGTGTAGAGAACATACGATGATCTGGGCGCCAATTTAACTACACTGAAGGCTGTGTGAGTCTCGTGGTTATTTATGGTTAACACGCATGGTTTGTCCAGGAAACAGCGGATAAGTCCATTGTAATCCTTAAAACGGTTTTGAAACACTGATCCATCCAAACTGGTTTGCAGCTTTTTGAGTTTCGACGGGTGCGCCCATTCGCATATGTTGTTCTTAAGTGCAGCCTTCAGAAACATAAGGATTTGCTTAAGGACACAAAGACGACCAATAGAATGTTTTTTGTTCTTAGATAAAAAACAAATTTAAGATACTTTCTTTTCTTTAACTAGCGATAGGCCTGCATAAATTTGTAACCCAGCTAAATTAAAACGCCACCCCGACAAGGCCCATATCGGCCAGTACAAGTCACTTTCAATTTATTTCTTGAGCAATAACTATCGATACTTCGCATAGCGACGTTTTAACTGAATTAAAATATTTTTTGGAAACGAAAAAAGAACGAGCCTGAAGTGTGCGTTAAGCTACTTAATAGTGTTAGCTTACAGAGCCATTTTCACATCGGCTTAATACACTCAATAAAAAGGAAAATAGCAATTTTACTAGATATGGACAAGTGGGGTTCTGAAATTGCTCCCGAGGGGATGTTTTTCGGTAGCATGATCTACAGTACCTGTCATGCCTGTATAACACCTTTTGTCCGTGCCACCCCTATTAACAGCTTTCTGTAAATAAATATACTTCAAGGCACATCGTTGTGAACTGTGAAGAAGTTGAAGACTCATCTATATTAAGCGCAATATATTTCACATATATTTTACCTAGCGCTTCTTCATGTATCTGCCTAAATGCAAATCCCGCGTAATTCAAATACGCTTAGCTCTCCTGTATTGTCATAGAAACGGTGAACCGCGTGACGAGCATCACCCGCAACAATTCCATAGCCATAATACAGCCAGATCAAATAGAGCAGGCCTGGGGTTCTAAGTATATTGCATTACCATGTTTTTAGCATACTGCTCGAAATATTTGCTCCGAAAAATGAACATTTATCGGACAAGCGTAAGGACTAGCCACGTTATTATTTAGTAGGAAGTCGTATTCGCTCTATTGCTTAGCAGAATGTTTGTTTCTTGTTTTTTTTTGTAGTTAAGCGGTAAACTTAAACTAAGATCACACCTCTAGTCTTCTTTGCAAGTTAAAGGGAAAAAGCTTCATAAAGCTAAATATACATTACAGTTTTTTAGAAACCTTTTAGTGCGGCATGTTGGAAACTCGGTCGAAGCTTTACCACGTAAGCGAGTACGCTACATGGCGACGAATTGCGAGAATATCTATGCAAACTGAACCGGAGGATAGTATCTCTATACGGACACAATAATGGGCCATTTCTACTAAGAGTTTTAGCTGCTCTTCAACAATTCATTGTTACTATCTGCAAGTTCGAAAACATCGAAAAGACTCGTACGCTGTGGGATGGTTGACACGTATCGGTTCATTTTGTGGTAAAGAAGCACATATGGTCTTTACGAACTATGTTTTGCAAAGCAAAAGGGTCTTCAAATGGCTACTTGTTAATAACCTAATAACTAACACGAAGTTCTTCTCTTTGTATTAAACTACCTCCCAGAGCTAATGCTTTATTTCTGAACAAATTTCGATATTCTGCTAAGGGCACCATGAGTCAATGGCATTACAGAAAATCTGTTGATTACTCTCATAGTAGTAATGTTTTTCGTTACGGCGCACTGTATGCATGCAGTAAGAACCCCACGCTTGTCATGCAACAAGGAACGCTATATCATAAAAGCAACCCTATCTAAACAGCTCTACTACTTGGCAATATAGCTTGTCGTGTCTTTAAAGGGCGTTTACGTCAGACTGTAACATCTTCCCTTAAACCGTTTTTCTCGAGATATCGTAGCCCTTTAATATTCTCTAACTCCAGTTAATATGTGGCCTGCTTAAGCCGACGATTGTAATCCTCTACAGGTAACCTGCTTTTACTCCCTGCTTTTCATTCAGTGGAATGATTTCAGAATGGTTCCGCATCGTAGCTCAGGCTATGCGATCGCCGACAGTCCTTTTGCAAAACGTCCTTGTATTTCACTATCATAACAATCACCTATCCTCAATTTTTTCAAGTCAAGCCACGGAAAGTGATGCACCCAAAGGACTTCGTTTAATGCCTGAAGTGCTTACCATTCTGCGTCTTTGTGACGTTAAGCATACCTTACTATTGATTTTTGTCGAGCGCCATAGATAGAGAAATTACATATGCGACGCGAACGGCAGGTGCTGGTTAGAAGCTTAGACAAACGTGTAAAAAGTAAAGGAGACCAGCACAAGACAAAAAGCAATCATCCTAATTTGACCCGCCTGATCCTTTCGGAGTTGGCAGATTCGCTTCTAGCAGTTCAATATATTTAAGGTACAAAACGCTTCAACGAGAAACCTGTAGCTGTTAGTGGTAAAAATGTAATCACAGTACAATACTGTATTACAATATTGTCGAAAATAATGTTGTTTTTGCTTGTTTAACAATTACAGTTGGCGAATGAATCCGTTATCTTCGATCCTGGAAGTTTCTTTGGTCATGCAGAGTTCGAATTTGGAATCATGCAAATGTTCGGAGGCTTTAGCCGAGAATTTTACGAGGGTTATTACAGCGTACGACCTAAAGAGGTATTATTGGTTTTCCCTACAAGTTATATATATATATATATATATATATATAGAATCGCCTAGTTTCTACAGTGGTATTTTGGTCGTAACATAGGCTATCCAGATCCTTGTATTAAACCGATTAGGAATATATTTTATTTCAAGTTTTGGCAAATTCATTGGAAAGTATAATGCACTACAATTACATACACCCCGTACTCCTGTATTAAGAGTTTGACGTGAACAGAAGAAAGCGCCTAATATTGGCTTTATTGCGTTATTCAATACTGCCTTTGAACTGAAGTGTCTGAAAATAATTGATGTATCTCTATTAGTAATCAATTTATTATTTTCGTTATCTCGAAGCTAAAGAAACAGTGGCAAAACCTAATATTTGATATGCTAGAGAAGCCTATTAAGGTAACACCGAGGAAGTTCAAAGCACAGTTTCTTTATGAAAACGGACTCCATGTCCAACTTATCAATTGTTCACTATATCTACATAGTTTTATTCAGTTAAACAATTGTCCTGTTCAAGGATCACAATTGCTGTTTTTGTTAATAATGTTACAGAACGGCTTCGAGAGACGCTGCAACTTGTATGAGCTTTTTCATCAGTTAAATCATTGGAATCATTTTGGATCTGGATACAAGGGCTCTACGATTGGCCTGCTGAAACGATTACTTGCTGAGTGATCTATCATAATGTACCATTCAATGCTGTGAGGTCAGAGAAAAAAAAGCAATATTCTAGGAAGAATGAATACAGAAGGAACAATAAATGCATCTATAATAAAGTATACAAAAAGACGCCCCTACTCTCACAGATCACCACCAACTTGTTTGAATAAATATATATATATATATATAAATATATATATAATGAGGCAGAATGATAAAACGCGTCTGTAGTACTCATTGCGTTGTTTCCGTGGTACCTGCACCGAAACCTCATGGCTCTCCCTCCGTCTATATGATCACTAGAACTTATCTGGTACTGCCACACTAAGCACGAATCATTTGCAAAAATATCTTATTGCATCATTTTACGAAAGGTTGGAAGCTCTAGAGGATTAACTACAATATTTCAAATAGAAGTATAGATTTCTGTGATTTTCATTACAACCAGAACTGAGAAAAACAGAACTAAGTTATGGCCTTGGCCTATCTTCAGATTTTAAAATGTGATTTAGATTGGCTATATGCCTCAAAGAAAGCGCAGACAGCGTAGCTAGTCTTCCCCGAACTCCCTCGAAAAAGTCACTGAAAACGTGCTGCAACCCGTAAAAGAACTTAACCCAACATACATCGACGTATTCTTGTACCTTACAAACACGGCTGTAAATTTTCGAAATTCTAAATATCTCGAAACAGATTTGATTTACTGTCATGTCGGTACTTCGCGCAAGGAGGTACTTTGTGGGTTCGCACATAAGGTTCGGCGCATATAAATTATTTCGTTTATTTTTTATTATCTCCCGCTTTACGTTTTCCTTTGCCACAGTGTCAATTTCTCACTAAACTCATTGTTACCATTATTATTTTCCCATTCAATTTCTCGGTCTTCCAGTACTTCATGTAAATAATTATATTTAAAGAATGATGAATTTTATCATTTTTTTACTCAAGCTACGAACGAGAACAAAATTGCCATTTGGGTAAGGCGGTTCTGGCAAAATTGTACCCAATCAAAGTTATAATATTCACCTTCAGTTAGCTAACGTCACCATGTTTATATTGAATATGCAGGGCCATCTTTTTACAATTTTTTTTTACAACTTTTTACAGAAACAAATTTTACAATAATAGGCTGAAAATGAGAATACTTGTACATACTATAATTTTGCATAGTACCTCGATATAAAAGTGAGTAATATTAATCTCACCTTTTCAGTTAAATATAATTTTGGATTATTATGCTTAGTTGATAGATATAAGGTCGGAAAGTAAGTAGTACATTTAAACGCCCCGGAATGGAAAAACTAGTTTATGGGCGTGTTTTTATCCTGTATAGGGAGTTTAATTTTACTACATGTGGAAAAGCAAATGTCTTTGCAGGGACTGCCAGTATGATTCGATCTGTTTCGCATAGTTCTAGCCATGGTCCTGTATAATTGTGCATCAATTTCACCAAGAACTTTAGGGGTATGGTGTTTTAGGCCATGACTGTTTCCGGCGTTGTTTAATGGACCTTATTCTTTCCGTAGACCCTACAAGTCAAAAGAAAACAAATCACAATACGGGGTGGCCATTCGATATTACCTGGCAAATTACCTTATGTTGTTGAAACAAGAGATGGTTCGCATAATACCCTTATGTTGGTCCACAGAAAGATGTAGTTCTTAGTACAAGACGCGTCGCAATGTGCTTGCCGATAGATCGAGCTGTTGTGCACGACGTATTAGGGTCGTTGAATCGGCATATATGGTCTTCTCCACGGTAGCGATGTTTATTTCATATGAGTTTGTACAAAAAATGCCTCAAATTGAACCGCTATGTCATTGCAAATTGGAAAAGTTTTTTTCTTTTTTCTGCTCGCTGCTGCTTGTTTACAAACACAAAGTAAAAAACAATACAGAAGTTTCGCGGTATTTATATGAACGAGCCTTAGCTGGTAGTCTTAAGTGCTCGTTCCTAGCGTAAAGGCCTCGTTTCGAAGGTACTCGACCATACGAGCCTAATGCTTCCGATGTGTCGTCCAATGTCCACGGTGATTTGTATATATCTAAGTTGTGTACCGCGCCGATAATAAAACGGATGTATCAACTAAAGCCGAGCGATATGGAGTGTGCGACATTTAACCGATAGAAACGTTCCATGAGATCTTCGGATACGTGTTAATTAAGCCCCAAAGTGACAACTACTATCTTACCGTCGCCAGCCCTCACCCCGAAAAAGACGAAAAAAACAAACAACACCATTTACACAAAACGCCTCTGACGCTCTCGAAGCAGTCTTTCTCTAAACGCTTGGCAAGTTTCTTGTTGCAACGAATCGCGCTTCAGAGAAAAGTCGCAGCCGGCCTTAGAGCCCAGCACAGAATAGAGGCAGAAGCCGAGGCAGTTGTAGAGTGAAATGTAAGGTAACTCGTGCTTTATCGCTGTTACCACCATCTGCGTTAGTGGAGAGTCTAGCACTTGGAGAAATCGGCATGACGCCTACAGAGGATAAAGTATTAATGCTTAGCGGTAGTAGTAGCTGTAGTATCATAGCGACATTATTCGCGCTATGCAGGGATTCACCGGCTGACTGGTTTGTATTTACTGGTGGTCAGAACACAAGCATTGACAAGCTAGATGATTATCGGATACCGGTACTATCGGATCTGCTTAGTGATTTCGGGTGTCTCCTACTCACATAGCAATTCTCCAAGCTTTGAGGGCTATGTGGGAAGGCTGATAATCAACATATTCCTATCCAAGCAGAGTACTGGAAGAGCTCAATACATTGGAAGAAACAATTCTCTAGGCAAGTGGAGTACTCTAGAACGGCACGTGCTGGTTGGAGTAAAGCGACTCCTCCAGCACGGGCGGATGCTGGATCCGATTAAGCTGAGGCAAAAGGGAATCACGAGATCCGGATATCTTCTCTCGATACAATACAAACGTATTGAAACTAAGGCCGTAATTTACGCCGCTAATACTCATGGATTAATACAAATTGTAAACTAACGGCTCCGCCGCGTCAGATACCGAAAGTGATCCAGCGTTAAGGCCGTTCTAAATGCTCTTATTGGCAAATAATTGAATCTGCCGGTCAGCAGTGCCTTGTATTTTGACTGAAAAACATGGATTTCGCACAGGACGCACAGACGCTATCTCTGAGCATGTCATATACACCCTCAAAAGCATAAAACAGTTACTTTTGGCTGGCTGTGTTCGTGGATTTTATGTTGGTGTTTGATATAGCTCCCATATACAAGACTAAGCTTGAAAAATGCAGAGTTCTATTAAAGATGTTGCATGTAGTCGAGGCGATACTGCAGGAACGCTCGGAGAGCATAGATAATGGAATGGTCTAGCTCCAACCAACCGGCGTTACACAGAGTAATGGCACGAGCCCTTTGCTACCCATATCTACTACTGAATGACCTGTCACCTCGTGTTCAAAATCCAGCGAAACAGGTAAGACGTTCACAACATTACGGTACTGGTACATCAACGATTCTACGATCTTTAGAAGAAGTTGGCTTCACATCTGGCAAGTTCTATGACATTGGTTGTTGAGCGATACAAACGAGACGAGAGGTCATGGGGATCAGTCACGGAAGCTGGCGTGCAGCTTACGATATGCTCCGTAGAGACACAATGGGCTTGATACATCTGAATAACTTCAAGTACTTGGCGATGATCTAGCCCTCGAATGGCCTAATTTTCATACGACGCATATCAAACAGAGCGCGACGACCGATGGTTGCAGGTGTGGGAATACGTACGCCGTCGATACTTGCACGGCGCTAGCCTTAAAATAAAGATAGCCTCGATTGCTTGTTAACGAATCTTGAATTACAAAATTTTGGAAACACAGACACAGCTGAAAAAACCCTTGTTCTTTTAAGTGCGCCGTGGGTCTATGTTCTTCATCAGTAAGCAGATATATGCGCTTCCTAGGCGAGAATCTGAGATGTAGATTAAGCTTTACATCATATTTGCCTATTCGAGGTTCATCAGTACATGGTAGAAAAACATGGTGGACATTCCGACTTTTTCGGCGACAATCCCGATTTTTTTACCCTGAACTATCTAGATCTATCGTTGTTATGCACTGTATCGTTAGTCTCCCAGTGATAATTTATTCAGGCTATTACCATTGTTCGTTCTTTTCGGGTTATTAGGAGTAGGTTGCTCGTAAGGATTTCCAATACCACGCACATAAAACGTACGGTTAAATAGGATGTTTCTAAAAGTCTTCTAATTTTTATTTTTCGTTATGGTAAATTTGCTCTATAGTTAGCTGATTTGATTTCTTGAAACTTTTTTAGGCTTTAAGAAGAGGATATGATGAAAATAGGAGTAACGAGGGGAATAGACGACACCTTCTATGTTTTGTCTAAAACTATGAGATCGTTTGAATTTTTAATGACAACGGAGACAAAATGACCTAGTCGCTTTGACTTGCGGACATCTCAAACATTGCGCAGTTTTAGAAGCGCGTAGTGAATTAATATCCAGATCCTCTGATTTACAAAAAAGACGCTGGATATTTCTCGCCATTGAGTACTGATTGAGCGTGGGGTCAATGTGGACAATTTTTTGTTGTTTCCCTATTACCACATCCGTAGTAAATTTTTCAGTCGTTGAGATTTTGCGTTGTTCTACGTAAATTTTCGTAAGAGCTGAGACCACTCTTTATGGATTTTCACGTTCACGGATTCTCAGAATTTTTTCATAAGTCACTTTGAATGACGATCGTTTGCGACAAAGTGATAACACCGGCAGTTCTGTGAACACACTCTTTTCCCTCAAAGGTTGCTACTGGCTCATTTTGTCACGAATCTACGATTGTTTTTAGTCTTACGTTGGCACAAACTTTTTTTCTCATATCCCAGCTGATTCCCCGTTCCTCTGCGTGTTTCTACTTCATAATAGTAACTTACAAGTAATAACCCCGTCGAGCGGTTCAGTACTGCCTCGCGCTACTAAAATGTTCCGAGAGGTAGTTGACTTCGTATCTTTTCACTTGTTAAAATGCTACTGTTGATATAGGCGTCGATTTATTTGATTTCGTTAGTATCGTCAGACTAGTAAGGTAATCTCTGCGCGCCTACGGTACCTCTTGATATACTTGCTCTCAATAAATAAGGAGATACTCTAGTGGCGACCATTGGCATGACATGGGTTACATCTTCTTCTTGACACCATGACACAAAGCTACCCCCTTGACCTGACTCTAA